CCGCCCGCCAGCTGCAGCCGCGCGCTTCGCGGCTTCCCCTCCTTCCCTCAGCGGCCCCGTCCCGCCTGGCCCCTCGCGCCGCTCGGCTCCTCCGCCGGCAGCCGCCCCGCTCGCTTCTCCTCCCTCGTGCTGCTCCCGCACGTTGCTCACCCGCGCGGTGCTGGCAGGCGGCGCCCGTCCCGCGCCGCTCCGTCCCGCCCGCAGCCTCGCGCCGCTGCGGAACGGCGGGCTCCCCGCGCTGCCCTCAGCGCCCGCCGCGGCGCTGTGAAGAGCGGTCAGAACGCGGCCAAAGTCGCGGGCCTTTCCAGGAAAACTTTGTTCCGTCGCCTGAGGTCATGGCAGGACGAGCCCCGGCCCCCGCGGCCGCGCTTCCAGAGGATCGCTGAGGTGAGCAGGGCGCTCAGGCGGCCCCGCTTGGGCTCCCCCTCCAGCCGTGCGGAGCTCGTGGCCCAACGGCGCGATGTGTGAGAAGTAATAAAGAGCAGGGGAACACCGTCTAAGCACACGTATACGTCTTTCAGGCCGCATTGCGGGCCGCGTTCCAGTGCTTCCTCGGGGGGAAGCAGAACACGGCGTCGGGGGCACGAGGAGAGGTGAACGCGGTGCTTTTTGACCGCGGAGGAACAAGGAGTTGGGTTATTCGGGTGTACAGAGGGGTGCAGCAGGCTTCTTCCACTGTGCGTGGGTGCTTTGCCCCTTTAGTGAGCACTTTGTTAATCGTGAGATGGCTATAGGACAAGAAAACACACCGTCTCTAATGATTAATTCTGGGGGAGGAAAACCTTTGCCCCTTTGCTTGCAGTGACCATTGATTTGGTGGTGTTTGTGGCAGCTGCCAAAGAGCCTCTGCCCAGCACAGCCCAGTTGTGAGAGCTCCTGATTGCCTTCCAGGTGCAACGTTGAAGCAAATAGACGCCGTTAGTTCTCCTACTTTCCCACTCCGGGTGCCTGGGATCTTACTTTAGGGCAAACTCAATGCAGACTCTGTCACGGATTTCCAAGGCGGCCCAGTGTGTGAGGTGTCCTGGGCTGTATTTGACTAGGAGCTCTTCCAGCAATCCCTGCGCATGCACTGTTTGGATAAGGGCCCATAGCATCCCCTCAGCTA